ATTAAATTGACTTATTAAGGAATGACTACAGTTTCTTATCTAAAACAAATAAAATTTGTCTACTTATCTAAAGTTTGATATGTTTTTTTCTTTTTATTAAGACACTTTACATATTCTAAATGGTATTTATTAATCATTAGCCAAAATGAATGCTAAAACTAAAAATGAAATTTAAAAAATATTTAAAAAACATTAAACTTTAAAAAAACTGTTAACTGGGAAAAACATTAAAATGTAACATTTTTGAAAACAAAAAGTTTGTTTTTAATGTATTTAAGAGTCTTAAAATATTTTTAAAATTTTTATTGTCAATTTGTAAATCTATAAAATATTTGGTATGTAAAATGTATTCATCCTATACAAAATGATTAAAAAAATAATTTAAAACTGAACTGAATCTCTTCTTTTGTCTCTAAATTTATGGAAAAAATGTCTTTATTGATTTTTATAGACAAAAGATATATAAATCAAAAATTAAACATGTCTTAATTTCTTCAAACGAAATAATTTATTTCATATTTATTAGAAGTAATTTTTAGACATTTTTAATATAATTATTTCAACGTATTAAAAAATTACTACATAAAATGGATACATACCAATGCTTCAAATACTAGATTATCATATAAATCAGAATCAGAGTTTTGCATCAAAATACTAAATAGTGCATCTAATGTATCTTGTAAAAACTAAAAAATTAAAACATTAAATTAGAACATATTAAACATTTATAAAAAATATTATATATTTCTACAAAAATTTATGACTTTATTTAAAATAATTTCACAGTTTCCAAAAGACACAGAATTATATTAACATAAAATATAATAAAGATATTATACTTTAAGACAAACTAATTTATCTTAAATAATATTTTTCTTAACAATGATACTATTGAAAACTATATATACAAATTTTATAAAAAAAAAAAAAAAAAATCAAAATCATCAAAACTTTTTAATGCAAACTCGTATGATGATGGTTTCAAAAAACAGTAAAAATATTCAAATTTATATTTATGTTGTGTATATAGTAATACTGCGCTCTGTAGTAGAGCTCATCCACATATGTAATGTTTAAAGTGCCAAATTTGACCATTAATATCTCCAAGACCAACAGACCAATTTGGATGAAATTTAATATATATAGTCTCTGCGATGATTAGTACAGAAGACTTAAATTTTGAATAAATTTGTTGGATTGTTCTGGTCTTACGCAATCTCAAATTCTGCATTTTTTCCACTAGATCTATGAGAGAGATTTTCGTGACACCAAGCTACAGGAAAATCAAGAAGTCTGCATATACTTAATAGCTCTTTTGAGAGCTGACCACATCTTTTGTGGTCCTTTTAAATGTTTTATTTAAAAATATTGAGTATTTATAAAATTATAGCTCATTTTTTAAATTTTAACATTTCATTGATCAATTGTCTACCACGTGACATGGCATTTTGCAATATATTTTAATCTATTACAATTATTTTATATATTTATATAATATGCAATATATTTTAATCTATTAATGATTTAATACAAACCTAATGATTAAAAATATAATATAATATAAAATAATGTCTCATTTTACTTTTGTGGTTCTTATGTACCTATACATAATAAGGGAAAATATTAATATAAAATATCTGTATTATTATGTGTGATGTAATTTATATCTATTATTTCTTTTGTAAAAAATAAGGACTGAAGAGGAGTCATTAAGATCCTAAATGCATTTCCTCCATTAATAAAACCTGTACCAATAACTGTTCCTTGTGTGATAAGTTACTGGAAAAAAAAGCCAAAAATTTTAGATTTAAAAAATTCCAAGGAGAAGTATTATTTATTCTCTGAGACACCAAGGAAAGTATGACTATTACATCAACCTGGATGCCCATTCCTCCTGATTTCACCCTCTCTTATGAACTCCTAAACCCTTTGCCTGATCTGCACCAAAAGTTTTCATACTTATTCTCTGTGACTCCGAGGAAAATATAGACTACTACAAAAACCTGCATACCCCTGATTTAATCCCCCCTTATTAACTTTTAAACCCTTTGCTTAATCTGCACCAGATTTTTCATATTTATTTTCTAGGACACTGAGAAAAATCTGCAAGCTACTACGTGACTGTCACATGAATATATCACAAGTTATCATGAAAACTATTCGCTTATGAAATTATTGATGACTGAAAAATACTTTAAATCCCATAAAAAAAAAAAAAAAAAGACTGTTGAAACCAGGTTGAAAAAATATAGCTCAGCAGAAACATCTAAATAAAGGAAACTTTTGAAAGTTGTGGCATAAGAATAGTGGAAGCAGATTTGACAATAAGACTCAACATGTAAATAAAGTGCACATTACACAGACTACAACTACAGGAAATTCTGGAGGAAGCAGTCATTATGATAATAAATTGGAAAAATAAGCATCATCATAGAAAAAGGCTTTGAGCTTTACTTTGTGCCTCAAACTTCTTTCACTGATACTGCTCAAACATGTTCTAACATTCAACCAAATTAATGTAGTGTAATGACTTTAAGGCACAAATTAAACAAACTGACAACAATTAGCTTAGTCAATAATGAAAGAAAACTCTTGTATTTCTTTCTTCAAGTTAAGTTTTATAATACTTTTAGAAGTATTTTTAGATGTACAGTAGAGCGTCGTTTATCCGAAGGTTGGTTATCCGAAGGAATTCCAGTCGACAAATTTAAATTTTCGCCAGTGCTGTGGCACTTCAATCTTTGGCTATGTCTTCGGCTACTCAAATATTTTATGTTTTTGATACTAAATTAACTTCTGAAGTATAATTTTTTATTGTTTTTATATTTTTCAATATATTTATTTTGTTCATACAAAATAAAAAAATAATTTTTAACGATACAATAGTCTTCGTTAGGCTTAACATCGACGAAAATTCAACGCAAAGCGACACGCAACGGAGAAAAATTTCAACACGGGATAGATTAATATATTTTTTTGTACATAATTGGTTATCCGAAAAATAAGTTATCCGAACAACTCCAGTCCCCAATTGATTCGGATAAACGACGCTCTACTGTATATACAATTCAAAAATTTAGTTTCTACAATTTTGTTTAAAAAAATAATTTTTTTAAAGAAAATTTGTTTCATTTTATTAGTAATAATTAGTTTACATGCAAAATATTTACATTATTTGAAGTAAAATGTTATAATTAGCAATTTTTTTACTTGAAGTAACATTTAATTCATGTATAAAAACACAATTGTTATAAACAACATAACAAATTTTAAACTCAATTGCTAAGATATCTGCTATATAATACACCAAGAATTTGAAATTGTTATTATGAAAAACTAAGCATATTCAAAACTTTGTTAAAGATATTTATTAAACCCTTCATTTAGCTTCTTGTTTGGACTTGTACTAAAATGTTATTTCAGCCACCTAATTGTGCTGTTTTTCCAAACTTATAATGACTTCTGTACATTATAAGAATAAGGAGAGTGTTACAATATACATTACATTAGATCAAAGGAAGAGAGAGCTATCCGTTTCTTGTTTACGGACTTGGCCCTGTTGGAAGAGGAAAGAAGGAAGAGCATGTGGTCGAAGTGTGAAGAGAAAGTAAAAATAAGGCATGGGAGACACCATGGGCGCCCGCATCGCATTTAATAAAACCGAGTACAGACAATTACGAATATTTACAGTTAATTATAACGTGATTACAATATAGTCTTTACATCGATATTGTACATAGTACATAGATGGTCAACATAATTATATTTACAGGGTAACAAGATTAAAGTAGGAAAAACAGATACAATTGGCGTGTTCCAAGGATACATGGCGGTGTTGCGCTCGCCGCGCGTGTTACAACAGGAGACTTAAAACTAACATATATGATATATAATTAGTACACTAATAGGTTTGAGGTACAGAAAAACAGTTTCACGGCCATTTTGCCGCATTTACAACACCTGAGATAACGAAAACGCAATTTGATATTTACAAGGTACACTTACATTACACATACGCGAGTTAAATTATACAACATGTAAGATACATGGCGATACAAGACGATACGGCTGCCTACACAGCCCCTGTGGATTCCAGAAGCTAATACAGAGTTACCGATCCACCGAAAGATCCATTCCAACAGCTGTTCGAATGTCCTTTAATGATGTGGCTCGACTCCGCCTTGGGGTGGTTGGTAGATGACGAGTTCTATGTCACGGTCACAGTACGATAGTTGTTGCACAGCACCTTTGTGTTTTTGATGTATTTCTTGAGGCTGTTCCAGACCTCTTTGTTGTTAAAAATGTCCTTCGGTCTTGGGGGCCAGTTGAGACCGTTATTAAGGCAGGTCCCCATAAACGGAAGCCTTTCCTGTTCGTAGGTTGGATAGTCGTAGAGTAGATGGTTTCCATCACCTTCGCTTAAGTCGTCGCAGTTACAGGTGTTAGCCTCTCGTTTGCCGAACCGGCAAAGGTAGGAGGCGAAGTTGCCGTGGCCAATAAGAATCTGCGAGGTTTCGGCATCAGGAGTGTAATGTTTGGTCTTTAAGCGGAGATGGATAGATGGGATGTAGTTGTGAGTAGTCCTGTCGGTACCTATACTGCCTTCGAAAGGATCACCAAACAAATCAGCTATATTAATAACAAACAAACTTTCCTTTAACTCCTCATACCATTCTTATTATGTTCTGTGTCATTTNCAGTACCTCGGCCAAAAAAACTAAGAAAATTGCGTCTTGCACAGTTTTTTGCACTGAGTTCAGTACAAATAAATAGGTCAATTTTGACACATTTAAGCAGTTTTGCAGATATTGTACCACAAAGTTGCACTTTGCCCATACAAAACTCCAGAGACAGTGTTTAACAAAACTTGGGGAGCCAATTTACTCAACTGCCATTGACTAACAGTGTGTCATAAATGTCTATAGCCTGTACATTCTACAAAGCAAGTAAAATATAAGTATGGTATGCAGGAGATGCAGGTTTGAATCCTGCTCTGGGCAGATTTTTTTCTTTCAGAATATTCTAAATTATTTAATAAATATTAATTTAATTTAATAAGAAATGGTGCCTAACTCCTCCCTCTAGTGACAAATTATTTAGTAATTAATTAAATACAATTGCGGAAAATGGTAATTCAAAATTTCATTTTTCAAAATATTTAGAAAATTCAAATTTTTTTAACATTTAAAAATTAATAGTAAATTATAAAATCTTAATAATAGATTTTTTTTAATCCAAAATGTAATAATTATCTTAATAAAGATAAATTCTTAGAATTCTTTATTAAGATAATTATCCTATAGTATTTAATAGTTAATCCTATAACAACAGTAAATGGAAATGTAAATTCAAAGCTCCAATAAAATAAAAAGTGACTGTTACAAAAACGTCAATTCCATGCTTATACTAAAGGATATAAAAATAAATGTTGTAGTCAAACAGTGATAATACAGAATAACTAAAAAATGAACACGATGTTATGATTTTTAAGATGCACAGTACAAATATATTGTAAAGGCTAAAAACAGTATATATATACATAATAAAAAAGAAAAAACAGCCAAAAAGTATAGATTAATATAAAGGAAAGAAAAGCTTACATATGTTATTACTGAAATAACAGTTTAAATTATGAAAATTTGCATATTAATTAATTAAGGAATTTGTTTAATCATTAAAACTTAATTACAATGTAACTTACATAATATTTTAGTTCATGTAAAAAATAAAATTTCAAGTTGATATTTTATAAATAAAAATTGAAACTATCATTATTAATGTAAACTGTATTTTTAAAATAAAATTATGATTTATCTGAAACTTTTCAGAGATCAGGACAATCAGAAACAGAAATTAGTAACAAATGATGAAATAAAAAATGTGTTTAAATAAATTAACCAAAGTTAGTATTTTATATTAAGTTTTGTAATATGATCAATATTATTATTATTTACTATTATACAGTATTATTAATATGTAATAAGGGTACAAGTCCAGTTAAGCTTAAATCAAACTATCATTTCTAGAAAATTGGTTATTATGCCTCCCTTGGTTAGCATTACAAAATATAATCTGTGCAGTTATTTAATAGTTTTTAATTACTTGGGTGTCTGAAAAAACAGTTTGGCTGATACCTAATTTCAAGAATTATGTATTTAAATCCTATTGTGAATCAAACTTCTTTTTCAGATGTTTTTAAATTATTTTTTTAATTTTTATAGTTAATAAATTTAATGAGCTGGTCTTTTATAAATTTAAAAAAAATATATATATATATATCACTATTAGTATAACATATATTCTGTTATAATAAAATTAATAATTCCTTAATCAATGCTACTTAATCTACTCTAATATGGAATTAAATAATACAGTATGAAAATAAATCTGATAGTATACTTTGAATCAAAATTTATTAAAAATAATAAAAAAAAATCATGAATATTTTATTGAATATATTCTTACAGGTATTATTTGACCTTTTTCATTGCAAACTTTAACAGTAACTTCTACATTTCTATCAGATGATTTAGCTCCTTTAGAAAACTCTCCTTGTACCAGAGTGAGATAAAGATCATTTCGAACATCACCTGTCATTATAAAATATTTACATAAATATTAAACTTTCACAATTATTTAAAATTATGTCAATATGATTGTTTTATTCTTCAAAAAAAATAGAACAGATTAATAAATCCACTCAATTTATTATTAAATTAAAAATGTTCTTTCCATTATTCTTTCTCATATGACTTTTTACATGTTCTGAAAATGTTAAAAAATATATTATTAAACTTCTAAATCTAAAGATAAGATTTCATCTATTATCACTTCTCTTTCTCCTCTTTTTTAAACTGAATTAAAATAAATGAAATTTTAATGATTTTAAATTTAAATTAAAAAAAAAATCAGGTATCTCTTGTACAGCACGGCACTTCTACAACATGGTTTTTCTCTAACACTGTTGGCAAATTGAGGACATCTCTGTACAACATAGTTTCCGGTTTCATTCTGACATGGTTCAAGAATTCGGGAAATCGTCTGTATAAAATTTCAGTTTTTAAGTGCAAACTCCATTATTTGATATTTTTTTTATACAAGCCATCTCAAATTTGCCCATGGATTTTACAATATTAAAATTTTCAATTTGTTTTGTGTCTTTCATCAGGTTAACTTCAATGAAAACCAATAGTACAATTTTTTCCTCCTTGTTCTAGCTTTCCTTTCAATCAGATATTGTTGTTGCTTTCAGACATTAGCATTTAAGACTGTCACCATGTTTTGGTTTTTTAGATTAATCTTCATATTTAGTAAAGTTTATTTAAACATTTTTAAGTATGTGTTATTAAGCTTTTTTTTTAACCATAGGTAAGTAATCATTCATAAAAATAATGAATGCAATACAGTGATATCTTGGTACTCGAACCCAAATTCTAGAGAAAAGTTGCTCAGTACTCAATTGAACAAATGAGGGTTCCTAGAACAAATTTTTGATTAATAACATATTTTTATTTTGATGATGATAAAAAATATTAATAAATAACATAAAAACTTTTGACGATAAAAATAAGAAAAATGAAGATAATGTTGATATTTCTGACCAAGATTGACAAAAAAGCTCAGATGATGATATACCTAGTGGGACTACCAGGTACCAGTATTTCTTTTATAAAAAGTATGTACTGTACAAATATATTTTAAATGACTATAATAAAATAATATTCTTTTCACATTATTTCAAGAATTATTCATTATAACAAATGTTAAAAATTTTATTTTTATAACAATAACTATTTGCTACTTAAAAAATTAGATTTAATCATAAATAACAAAATGATACCAGTAATATCTAGCAATTTACTAAATAATAAAAAAACAAGCATATTCAGCAATTTTTAAATCATCATCATCAGGTTAAAATAGAATATATATGTAAAATTCAAATTTTACTTTAAACAAAATTTTCTAGTATATACAATTTGATAGATAAGATTAAACTTTGATAATACTGGTCAACATGATTTTTTGTACACAGAAGAGAGAAATTGTGTCTAATAGAACTTTTTGTACTGATTTCAAACATGGGATTGAAATTTTTCTATCACTCTCTAATTTTACATAGTTGTAGACTATCTTGTTAGGGATCTGAACATGTCTAAAAAACAGGCCAAACTTTTAGCTTCTTGACTGAAAGGTTGGAATTTACTTCATCAGACAACTAAGGTGTGTTTCTTTCATAATCGTCAAGAAGATTTTCAAGACTACTATTCTGAAGAAAGTGATTTAATTTATTGCATTAATATTAGTGCTGTGATGGATGCACTTGATCATAAATATACTACCATGGAATGGAGAGTTTTCATTGATTCATCTAAGATTAGTCTTAAGACTGTGCTTTTACACAATGGAAACAAATTTCCTTCTGTGTCATTAGCTTATTCAACTAAAATGAAAGAAACCAATGAAAATATGAAACTCTTACTTAAAAAAAATTCATTATCACAAGTACAATTGGATCGTATGTTGTGATTTAAAAATCATTTAATCATTAATGGGTTTGCAGCTTGGCTATACTAAATTTTGTTGTTTCTTGTGTGAGTGGAACAGCAGAGACAAGAAAAATTATGTCAAGAAGGAAAGACCAAAGTGTGAAATGTTTATTTTTATCCAGGAAATAAAGTTCATGCACCATTAGTCAATGATGACATGATTTTTCTACCTCCACTTCATATAAAGTTAGGACTTTTCAAAAACTTTGTCAAAGCAATGAATGTAAACAATGCTGGATTTCATTATTTGAAAAAAAAATTTCCTTGTGTAACTGATGCTAAAATCAAAGCTGGAGTTTTCATTGGCCCACAAAAAAAGAACTTTAATTAAAGATGATAAATTTGAAAGCTTGTTAAGGACAGTTGAAAAGTCAGCATGGAAATCATTCAAAAATGTTGCACAAAATTTCTTGGATAATCACAAAGCTCCAAATTACTGTGAAATTGTGAATGGGCTCTTACAATCTTACAAAGATATGGGATGTAATATGCCCCTCAGAATGCATTTCTTGGATTCCCATCTGGATTTCTTCCCCAACAATGTTGGTGCTGTCATTGACGAACACAGGGAGCGTTTCCATCAAGACATCTCTATCACGAAATAGAGGTATGGTATCAGGGCCAGTGGAATTCAAGAATGCTTGCTGATTATGTTGGACAAGAGGGATTCTCCAAATGCCAAACATTGCAGAAGCTCCACATTTCACCATTTTAGACAAGATAAAATAAATAAGTGTATGTGTTTTGTCTAAATAAATATATTACTAGCTGTCACATAAAAACCAGATGTGATAGAGAAAAACTATTTATATATTTGAAAACAACAAAAACAGCTCTATAAGGATCAGGTATTTTCATTTGTGCATGAAAAAAAGCTTTCATTTTGTTTCTCAGTGTAATTGATTATCAAAATATAAGCTTCATTTTCAATAAAAATTATATTTTAATACTAAAAACATTCACCTATGATATTTCAATAATATAAAAAAATAATTAAAAATTTCATACCAGGTAGAATAACTTCAGGAAAACCCATTTTTCTAGCAACAGCTGTTGAAGCTGATATTAAATGAGGATTTTCTTCTCTTACTTGCTTTAAATCTCCATGAAGTAATTTTAAACAAACCCAAAGTCCTTGCCCTTTATGTTCTTTCTGAGTAATATCTTTTGCTGCTAGAACTTTTCGTATTACATTTTCTAAGAAATCTCTTTCACCACACCTATACATTGATATAACTAATTAATAATAAAAATAAAAAACTCCTTAAATTATATATATATTAAAAAATATATTATTTCATTTAAAATTTTAATTCATTCTATAATAAAAATTACATGATTCACTTTTACTTGGATATGTATTTCTTATAATTGTTTAATTGTTATCAGGTGACCAAAAAGTTTTTGCAGTTTTTACAATGATGGCTACTACAGAAAACTGCACAAACTTCTTTTGGTCACCTAATATAACTATGTAAACCACATAACTGAAATTTAATCATCAGTATAAGTTGTAAAAAAGTGTCAAAAAACAAGAAAATTATTCATTCTTAAAACACATTTTTTCTAATTGTAGTAAAATTTAAATACGTAAACAACTACTTTTTGGAAATATAAAAAAATTTATAATAATGATGGAAGTTATAAAATTTTAATTTTTCATTTACATTACAATAAAATAAATAAAGGAAATAAAACTACAGGTATACCTTGCCTTACGTTGGTAATTGGTTCCAGGAGAGGCGACATAAGTCGAATTTACTTGTCTCCGAATCTACTTGTCACTAGGCTAAACCATAAATTACCATTCCCGGTTCTGTATTTTATTTATTAATGCATTTTTAATAATATATGATAAATAAGGATCTATTTTAAGCTTACAAACAAATAAATTTTAGTTTTTAATATAGTACAGAAAAAAGTAATCTAAATTTACGAATGCATGTACTGTAAATACAGTACATACTTGTAAATGTATATATTTTAATATGATTTTATGTGCTTTAAACGCTTTTCTAGTGATATTACGACTTCAATATTTGTGGCGGACAGACGTAAAGTCGAATAAAATGACTTAA